TGATAGTTATTTTGTGAATTTTATGTTGTAGGAATTTGGTATACGTTTCAGTTGAAGTAAACGTGTATGGAAATAATTTAAATATTTGACACTAAGTTTTGTAACTATTTTTAAGGTTTTTGCGTATAAATTCGTTGCTGTTTATAATATAATAGATAATTTAGAGGTAAAGTTTTTGGATATTTATTATTTTATACGTGGAAAGTTCATATTGGAAAGGGTATATACTTTTCGCGATAAGTAATTTCGATATGTTTTTTACCGGGTTAAAGATTCAGAAAATTGTTGCATTTTCGTGAAATTTTCTAATTTATGAGAAAAAAAGCGGTGTACATGGATATAGTAAAGAGTGTGCGCAATGCCATTTTTGTACAATTCTGGGATTTTTTTTAAGTAAAAAGAAGTCGACGTGTACATGGTTTATGTGTATGTATTATTGTGAAAAATGCGCAAGGAGTTTGCGATTGTGCACTTTTTCCCAATTTTGCAGTTAATATTTGTCATGATTAAGCAGTTTTGTTACATAAAATTTCTAGCATAAGTGGTTATTAGATTGTTGAAAAAAGTGTTGAGTAAATAAAAAGAAAAGAAACATGTCTTTACTTCGTGAAGACAAAATGGCGGCGGAAAAAAAATAGAGGGTTGCTGTAGCAGAGTTGGTCGCCAAATTTTCGCCAAGTTACCATAATCCAAAGATCAACCCAATTATATTTAATCTCAGCCATATCAGCTTAAAAATAGCATGAGAGAAACTTCATAATGATATTTTTCATTTTGACATACCAAAGTTAAATAAGTAAATAAATAATAAAATGTATTTTCAAATTTAGCATCGAAACCTGTGGGCTTTTGTCACTGAACCGTATGTGTATGTACATATAGACATACATAAATGAACACATCTATACATGCATATATGCATACACACATACATTTTTAAATCTGGAGAAAGAATTACTAAATCAGAAGAGTACCCTAATGCAAAGCTTAGCATATATTTTCAGAAATATATGCTATGATGACAGCATCACTTGATGACATGGGGACTTGCCTTGATCATCCTCAATCCGCCATATAAATTCTCTTCCTGTGAAGAAAGCACTTTAACGTAACCTCTCACCTCATGCGCTTCTTTTGGATAATTCCATATATTTTGGCAGGTTGTGTTTGAAACCGTAAACTATAACTGGTCTATTCCATTACTTTTTGTCATTTATATCCAGCTGTTCTCCAAAATGTAATTCTATGCACCACTGAGTAAATGTTAATTCTTTGCACCACTGAACTGACCACTGTAAAGGAACTGAAGCAGAATCACAAATGTGATTCTACAGCTCTCTATTTCATTATCTTCAAAATGCAAGGGAAAATTACAGCAATAAAAATTAATTTATGTCATTGTTCACAAAAACAAATGGTGGATTATAGAAAACCAATCGGAACCACATCAAACAAAAGTGCAGATATTATGAGTGTGTTGTGACATTACACTTACATATAACTGGCACTAAATCATGCTGCTTGGCAACAGTTAACAGCTTTGGTATCCATAAAATAATACGCAAATACAAAAAACAAAAACAAACAAAGAAAAAAAAAAATGACCAAAAGTTTGGAAATATAGGAAAAAATAAGTATCAAGCTACTGGCCAAAGTAATTTGGGAGAAGAGAAAAGCCAAAAATATACAATATGGCTTTAGTGGAAAAGTAAATTTTTAAAGTTTCGAATGTTGCATATAAAAACAATTTTCTTAAATATTGTATCATCATTGCTATAATCTCACATACTTCTTTCCCTTTTTAAATTTCTTGTTGCTTTCTAATTATGGCTCATAATAAAATTTTTTCACTGTTCTGCAATAAAACTTTTTTTTTTTTTTTTTTTTTTTTTTTTGATAAGGTTTAGTTAACTACGAGTTCAGTGCAAAGTATACACTAAATATTGCTCAAAAGCTTTCTAAATTCAGACTGTATCTATTGATATAACATCATATTGATAACTATTTCATCATTACTTTTTAAATATTCACAGTAAAAATGCTTTGTAGTACTTTTAATATTGCACATTATATAATGGAAAAATTTCTTAAATGAATCAATTAACACTGCCAACTAACATTCTTATGAAGCAAAAGGCTCGTATTTTAAAGGAAATAAAAATTCTAATTCAAGTTACTTATAACTAAATACCAGCCTAAAGAATAAAATAATTTGGGTAGAGTAGACTTTAAGGTACCTCTTGTATTATGGCAAAGTTGTTGTTTGATTTATTGCCAAGTTGTTTCATTTATGGTAGCCTAAGTAGTTGAATATTATGGAAACCCTACTGTGACGTTATCGGGTGCATGATTCTGGGAAATTTTGAATCGTGGGATGTTTTGTAAGCTTTTTTGGGGTGTGTGTTGGTTGGATTCTTTTAGACGGTAGAATGTTTGAATGTAGTAAGATTAATTGAAGTTTAGTACCATTTGGAGGAAAGGGGAAAAGAGCTTTAATTGGACTGGTGTGTAAATGAAGGTGTTATAGTAGCCATTATAAGTGTCCTGTATGTAGGAAGGATATGCGTCTGTCTAGTCGAATGAAAAACCGTTTAGATAGATTGAATGGTTTGTAGGGAGAAAGGTTCAGACGTCACTGTGAGCATTCGATCAGAAGAAACCGGTTGAAAAAGTCATTTGAGTATGATTGATATTTTGATTTTTACGTGGCACTCGGGATGAAGCGAACTCGAAAATCATGGTATTGAATATTGCTTTTGGTAGTGCTTAAATGTATAACATGTTTTTTCCTTCTTTATGTTATTTATTGTTGGTTTGAAAATGCATTTTATTGAGATTATGATTTTTGTTTGCCTATATTGTAGAATTTGGTGCTCTTTGATTTTTAAGTGAAAATATATTGATGTGTACATGGACAAAGTAAAGGGAAAGCGCAATGCAAGTTTGTGCAACTCTGTGATTTTTTTTAAAGTGAAAATAGGTCGATGTGTACATGGATAAAGTTTAAAAGAGTGCGCAATGCCCTTTTTGAGCAATTCAGGGATTTTTTTTTAAGTGAAAATAAGTCGATGTGTACATGGATAAAGTTAAAAGAGTGCGCAATGCCCTTTTTGAGCAATTCAGGGATTTTTTTTTAAGTGAAAATAAGTCGATGTGTACATGGATACCGAGTTTGTGCAATTGTTTGTCTTGTTATTTTGGCTTCGCAAGCCAAAACAACCAGTCAAAGAATTGCACAAAATCGGCATCCATGTACCTCCAAAAATCGCCAAGTTTCGTCAAGGGGTACCCTAAACTATACTTTTACCAATAATTTTTTTAATTTATGTCATGAATAAAATTATTCTGTAGCTTAAAAATATAATACTAATTTTTCCTTCTAAAGGCACATTATATAAAATTAAAGCCACAGTAAAACCATTAAATACAGAATCATTTTAATACCCAACCTTTAAAACTAACTGAAAAACAGATGCAGCTTAATATTAGTTCATTAAACATATTTTCTCTGCTACTACGATTTCAAAACATTAAACCCAAAATGTCTGAAAATTCCCAGTTTACACCAGTAGTATTTAAATTTATAGCACTACAACCCTATAAAAAAATAAACGATCTCAAAAAATAATTTCGCGATTCCAATCAGAGCGTCGTCCCTTTGTTATATACCATCAAGTCAGATTTTTTAGGATTTTTATCCACGCCGCTACCCCACTATAAATTTTCGAGTCTCTATTATTCATCTGAACAATCACAGGATACAATTGCAAATAATCATTACACCCAAAGTGCAAGAAACAGAGAATATGCAAAGTACCTATTTCAAATGCATAAGAATCCTACTCGAAACTACAGAGATAATAAAAAATTCAAATAAGTTAACATTTTAATTCTAAACAGTAACACTGTTTAAAGTGCTAATCGAAAACTGGAGTTTCTGACGTATTACTTGGTACATATGCTGGAAACCATTTCCAATTCCAGAATCATTGTCCAACCAAAAAATAAACATTTAGATACTTACGTAGCCAGCCTACGCATTCTGACACTTAAAAGCGATCTGTTACTTAAACCATAAAGTGGTTTAATTACTCGGAACCACACACTCATGCTACTACTGGAAGCAGCCATGACTTTACTAAGTGAAAGTTACGGTATTGATCATTGATTTCATTCAAAAATTTACAAAGGTGAGCTTATCTGCGAAGTCAAGGAAGATAGACGTCGCTGTAAAACGTTCTAAAACAGTGCCTGGACTTGATATCAAAGCTTTTTTATTCTGTAAAGTTTCATGCACTAAGCAAAGATACAAATTTCACATTCTCCTAATCTCAAGAAAGGGAACAGCTTTAGCGATCTCCTTTGGCGATTTTTTGACTTCACTACCAATGTCTGTCGTCAAGGCAGACCCAGCTTTGACGATCGGAAAAAAGTGGCGGCTAAATAAAAAATCGTAAACAATAAACTGTGAATACTGCTCCCCCCCCAAAAAAAAAACTTTCTCTAATTTACAACACTAATTTACAACTGCTAAGATAAATTCCTGAAACACTGGCGAGTGATGAAACTTACAAAAGATTAATAAATGGATTTTAAAGTTAGTATTGTGTTACTTTATTTTCTTAGATTCTATTACTAAAAGTAAATTAAAATATGCTTCAAGTTGAAGTAAATCGAATTAAGTTACCAAAACAAGTAAATTTTGTACCAGTGTTAGGGGCGAATTCAAGTGCAACGCTCTGATAAATTGCAAATGTTAGCTCGCAAGAGGCGTTCCTGCTATCGTCTGCTAAAGTCGAATTCAAGTGCAACGCTTTACCGCTCTGGTAACTGATGACGTCAAAATTGCAATGGGGAGCTGGTTTGCTCTCGTGCCAGGAGAGCTTGTCCGATAAACTACATCAATATCCAATGAGACTGCGTGTCGATGTAAACAAAAAACATCAGTTCCCATGATTTCTCTGAGCTTATGGTCAAGTGTTTACTGCGTTGTAGTGTGTGTGTAACGAATTGTTCCAGTCCTGAAAACGAAAGAAGAAATATATTCTTTTAATGTGTACAACTTTATTTACTTTATCCTATAGAAAATTCCCTCCAAAGTAATCTAGAGCAACAGGTGTGTGTAAAATATATTTTACTTTTCAGACAAAAATCCTTGCTTTTTCAAATATAAACCACATTTTTTTCCCATTTTCAAATTACAGCATTTGGTTTTAATTCTTCTAATAGTAAGTTTAATTTAAAATTTCAAATTTGTGTTATATTTTTATTGTTTAATGCAGATGCATGATTCTTCAGTGACAGTAGGCATGTTTACCATATGAAAATTAACTAGTTCTTGAATTATATAGTAATTAATAAGCCCATCTATCTACAAGCAGATAAGCCTGCTGAACACCGCTATCCCAGTCTCTCTTTAAATCCAGGTGAAAAAGCTGGCTGCATGAGTGTTTTCTTCATTTTTTCAATGTATAACATGAATACTAAGTTTTCCTTAGTCTTCCACGCAGGCATTCCTTCCCTTAGACATTCATTATGTGATGAAACAGTTAAGAGCAATTTTAGATTTATATTGTACATCGTTGGGAAAATATAAAAATGAAATTAAAGGTATTTCAATGTAATACAATAAATAAAAAATTATATGAAACCCTGATAATTCTAATGTGATATTAATGTAATATATACATCCAGAGTAAAGGTTAATTTATAAATTATGCTTTGTGTTCTGCTCATTATATTGTGCATTTACAGTACACTTTCTGCTTCTTAAGTGAAAGTTTGGACCCATTCTCATTTGATATCAGTTATGTTCAGATTTATTTATTTCATAAAATTTCAAAAAACAATTTTTGGCTATTAAAAGCTACAAGTGCAGAAACAAAAGCTTAATTTCTTTACTGTAACTGTGTCATGCTTCTCTGCTGATAATGAAAGTCGTCTTTTAATAAGATTTCTTTCATTGCATATATTAATTATATCTTTTACCATACTGGTTGCCATCTTTCATTGTGCATTCTTCAATATTTTTTGGTACTTACGTATTAACACAAAACACCTGGATCAGTTTGGTGGTTTTTATAAATGAAAAGAGAAAAGTACTTATCAGGAGAAGTACGTTATTTTTGCAGCTTGCTTTTAGCATAACCAAACTATCAATATTTATCTAAGTTGGCAAAACGTTATCAACATATCAAAGGAAAAAACATTTAACAAATTTTAAAATACTAATTTGAATTATTAAATAAAAATTATATGATAGTTTAAAAAAAAATACATTTTCCACAAATTTTTTGTCTAATTTTTTAGCACTTGTGCCAAGTGATCTGTTTTCACTTAAAAAAAAAAAAAAAAAAATCAGAGAATTACATAAACTTGATACTGCATGCCTTGTCTATGTACCAAATTCATCTCATAGTTGTTTCCATTAGAAATTTTTGTACTAAAATGTTCTATTCCTGCAGAACTTTTAACACAGCTTCGTCTTTTGATGGTAAGCTCCACAAGCAGTATTTTAAATCTGAAATTAATCTAAAACAACTATTCGTATCTAAAATCCATTGGAACTTGAAATACAACATAAGAAACACATATGAAAATGGTGACATTGCTTGAATGAAAAATTGTCATGAGCATGTTACCTGAAAAATTTTGATACATAATCGTTGCCAGAGTTTGGCACATTTTTGAAAATTTGGTAACTTTTATTAAGTGGTTTCAATAATATGCAAATATCTTTTATTCTTATGATTGCTTCATTGTATACTTTTTCCCTTTCCCTAGAGTGCAGTACAATACCACAAGTTTTCCAGCCAAATGCGGTATGCATTTCAAGTTTCTATACATTTATATAAATTTTAAGAGAGTAAAATATTGACAAAAACTGCATTAAGTTTTCAACTCTTGTTTTGTTTTTCATTAAAAATTTGCTACCATTATGTATAATTCATTTTTTTAATGTAAATGTTTTTAAGTATTTGTAGGATAAAGGCAAATTACACTTATTCATTCTTTCTTTGATATAATACATGTAGCTCTTTACCTGAAATCAATGTTTGTCAAATTATTGTGCATAAATTAGAAGTATGCATGTTTCTCTTAAGTCAGTTATGTTTCAGGAACTATCTTTAATGAATTGTATAGAAAATTGTGGACGAGGTGTTAGGTGTACAGGAACGTGGTATATTTATAAACATGTATAGTATCTCATAGTATATAAACTCATAACTTTGATTATGCAGTAGTATGCTTTGTATATTATTTCTGAAAGCATGTATATTTCAATCAAGATTGTTGAGTAAACTTTTCTTGCTTTATGCTATCTCTGAAAGCAGCATGTATATTTCAGTCAAGATTGTTGAGTAAATTGTGCTTATTTTATGCTTTTTTTCTTTTTTACATTAGAAAATTCCACACCTTTATCACGAGGAAATCTGCAATGGCATTTAGGAATGACAAGTTTGTATCTATTGCATAAAATCTAATGTTTTCTGCATTCTTTTCCTTTTCCTCCCAACAGAAAAACTTTAATGGTATAAATCAGCAGTTTCAACCTTTTGACTGTAGTGTACCATCTAAGCAAAAACTGAAAAACATTAAGACTACCACTAATTTTACAATGATTATTTTTCAATTCCTCAATAGAAATATTAAAAACATATATATATATAATATATATTGCCATTTGCACACTCTTTGTATTAAATATGTACACATAAAAACTATTAGATTAAAAACTGATGATGATTACTTAATTATCAAAATTAAATTTAATTAAATTAATTATTCACTTGATTATCAAAATTTCAGTTATAATACTTTAATATTTAATTTCTTTATGTCTGCTCTTATTTCATTTAATGGTAAATTAGGATCCACTTTTTATTTTGATGAGTATTTATATTTCAAATTTAACATGGAAAAAATCATTTTTCACACAAACAGGTTGTGCGAAAAGACAATACAAATTTGATAGCTTTATTTGAAATGCCTTTAAATTTTTTTTTTTTCAATTTTTTGCCAAAAGTTAACAAGTGTGTCATTTTCCAAATCTTCAAGTCAATTTCGATCAAAGGAAATTTCTATTAACTATTCTTTTCTTTATGAGATTTTTGAATTTCATAGTTAAAAATATTTTGTTTCTTTGCATACCACCGGCTGAGAACCGCTGGTATAAATTAATTATAACAGATGTAAATTAATATTTCTCATACAAAAGAGTTATTTCAATTCTTTATTGCGAACATTATATACAGAGTATGTCTTTTATTAACAACAAGATTTTAAGAATTTAAAATAATAATCATTAAATCCTCTTGATCTATAAACAGTCTTAAAAATTATAAAGGGAAAAAAATTGAAAGTTAAAGAAATCAATATTATGAATTGTTCCTTTTTAGAGAAGTTTCATTGTTTAATTAATTATAAAAAGTGTTTTACATTATGAAATATAAAAATTAAGAATATTTGAATTTGAATGAATATTTTAAAATTTTCCCTCAGATAGAAGCTCAACTATTCGAAGCAGGAGACCGAAGAGAAAAAAGGAAGAGAGATGATATTACAGCTGCAGAAAAGGAAATAATTAAAACGCAGAAGAATATATTAATGTACTGTGTGAAATATGTGACTTGTATAAGCAATCAGTTGCAAATCAGTCTGCTGTCATAGAAAATCAAAATATAATTATTAATTTATTAAAAAAATAAATCATGCATTTCAAATATTACAGTGTTTTCATTCTTGTATGTATTTCTGCAGTGTGGGATTCATATTTTAATTGTAAAATTTACTACTTTCTTAATTTTATAAAATTTTGTGATTATAAAAATTATTTAAAAGAAATTCACAGATCCATTATATGACATAAACATTATAATAATTCTAATACCACTATTATAAGTCTCGTGAAAATATTTATGCATTTTACACAGCAATTATCTTTTTCCTGGAGGAAAATGGGAATAAGACCTGTAAGAATCTTTAGTCAATGTATTACAAATTTTAATTTTCAGATATAACACGAAATGAATTAAATTGTTTTTCAATTATGTTAATAAGTTATATGAATGAGATGTGGTATTAAAAATTTCATTTCTTTTTATCATTGAAGAAATAACATTCGATATCCTACAGCTCCATAACAATGGCAGATAAAATTGACATTCTAATTTCGAAGTTCTAAAAATACAGAGATGACAACTATTAAAGTATGGCTAATGTCTAGTTTACAATAACAATGTTGAGTCGCGTACGTACTAAAAATTAAGTGAATCAAACTGTATTTATTTTCCCCCTTCTCTTTTTTTGGCTGAAAAACAATTTATTATACACTCATGATTTTACTTAAATGTATTTCTTTTAATGGCAAACCCACTGAGGTAAGTATGCAGTAAGTTATTATAGTGAATGCGTAATGATGATATAAATCTAAATTCAGCAAACAATCTTTCCCTTACTTTAATGTTTTAAAATCTAGAATTAAAAGAAAAATGTATGTTCTTTAAATAATACAAGAGGATATGGAGGCATAAATCATAGGCTGTTTATTCTTTACATATTATGCTAATCAGGAATTGGAGCAAAACCCTGCTTAATCGAAGAATACGCTCACAGGAATGGTGGAGGAAAATTGAAAATTGAACTGTCCAATATTTGTTTTGCCCACCCCCAAGAAGACATAAACAGTATAGAGTGAAATAATTGTTTTTAGGAAATACATTTAAATATCTTTGACAGAATATGTCAGTTTTAATTTATACTATAATAAATAAGCATGAAGTTCTTATGCTATTAAATGTGTATTGTCACATGGAAATTTTCTATCTTGTCCCACGGAAGGGGACGAAAGGGAAACATTTGACTTTTTGGAAGAAACTGGAAGAAACTGAATTTCGGTGCAGTAAATCTTATTGCTAAGTTTAAGATAAATTAAGTGCAATGCTAATTTATAGTGACTTACTATTGTAAATCATGACTGGCATACCCAACACTAAAATATATATATATCAAGCCTATTAAGTTATTTCTGGTAGTCAAGAGTTTTTAAACATAAATGATGGAAACAAGAAATTCAGAGGGAAGAACAATAATGATAAAAGTTGTCAGTATGCATTTGAAACCAGGACTAATAAAATTATTTAGGATTATTATTATCAATTAAAATCATTTAGGGTTGTGCATTTAGTTACAGGTTTAAATATAAACCATGGCTTGTGGGTCCCCAAGAATATATTATGAAAGTAATTTTTTTCATAATATATTCTTTATTATCCATGAAGGGGGTTTCACCTTTGCCAGAGGTTCATTGTTGCCCACTTTGGGTTTTTATTATCGAGTTTCAAAATTTAAAGATAATTCATTGTGCAATGCAATTTCAACATGCACTGACTGACTGAAAACTTTCTGAAGGTACCAACTCATCATCTTCAAACACATCGATCTCAGGATTTTCAACACAATACCTTAAGCATATATTATGTAAAATGGCCACCAGATATGACCATTTTACATATTTTGCTTTGTGAATACAATAGTGTTCCACCAGTATCGTGCAGTAAGTACCCTAAATCTTGATTTGATCTCTATAGCTGCACGAACTTTTCTGTGCTTCTCATTATAGAGATATTCCCGTGATAAAATGGGAATATAATCCACTATCTCCCAAAGATATGCACGATGCGACAAAATACTATCTAGATTTTGTTTCAGTCCACTCCATATAAATGCATCATGAGTATTGCCTGGCCATTGTCCTATAGCATAGAGAACCCTCAGACCAGCATTCCATACCTAGAAAAACATAAATCCTAAGTCAAAAGAAAGTTTCATCTGAAATTTTAATACACAGATTTTTAACATTAAATATAGTTGATATATTAATAAATCAGTCTTTTTAAGGAGTTTACTTTCCATTTTTAACAAAAATATGTCACTGTTTTTTCATTATTAAAAAATATGCAATAAAAACGTTAAAAAACACACACCACAACAAAAAAAAAAAAAAAAAAAAAAAAAAAAGCTACCCCCTTTTTTATTAAATTGTAGTAATTATAGTAAATAGGTGATTCTAAAATTTATTTAATATTTTGTATTATTTAATATCTATACTTCACTATAATTATAGTATAGATAGCTTTTTGTTATTATTATTTGAATAATAATGAAACATTCTTGCAGTAATTTGAAATGACTATAATATTATACTTATTATCATATATTTCTTACCTTTTCACCATTAATGGAAAATTTATTTTTCCGGTTAATGAAGACAAACAAAACAAAAATTAATATCACCACACTCGCAACATCTGCGGTTTCATTTGTATGTAACCCAAAATAATTCTTGGTAAGCTAGGTAGAATCACATTTGTGATTGCACTCCAGTTCTTTTACAGCTGGTCGAAAGAATTAACATCTACTGTATGTGGAAATAGCGAACAAAACAGTAAGAAATTGGAACAATTACCTGTGGACAACTTGTATTCATAGCATTCTAAAATGAGCTTTTGGTAAAATTTGACCGCAAATAAAACAGTAGTAATGAACGAATGTTTTTTCACGAAGTGGGTCCAATACTTTCACAGCAGGGTTATTTCATGTATTCTGCAGAGAGACTGTTGTATGGTTTGTTGTAACTGCTGTATACAAATGTCTGGCTCAGAATTCCACAGCAGTAATTAGCACAACTTTCATGGTTGATGGTATAATATGGAGGTACCAAAAATTAGTATTATCACAGTAACTGCAAGATGGCTTATATTTCTAAAACTCAGTTAACACATTTCATGCAGAAAGAAAATATTATCCAGTTTCATACTTAAATCAAGGTCACTGAAATGTGGTAAAAGCAATCTGCTTAAGAAAACAGATGCCTCTGTAGAGGACTTTCTATGGAAAACTGGCTTTCATTACTATTATACATGGGCAAAACCAATGTCATGTAATATAATAATCTATTAGTACAGTAAATACATTTAATTTCTTTGTATTTATTTATGTCATGCTGCTTTTCGTGTAATTTAGTATGATAACCTTATAAGTTTATTTAATTCTGATCATGGTCTACGGAAGTAAGGTAAGTCACCTGTTATCGAGAATATCAAGTTATTAATAGTTATGTGAAAGTCTGCAATAACTTTTCATATCATAAGAGATTTATGAATGTGTATATAACTTACATGTGTAGTTATTATGCAAGATCTATAGAAAGTATCCAAAATTACCATGACATTAATCACACTGTACGAACAGGCAAGACATTATACATTAGGAGAAAATTAACTAATATTTTGGGGGATGAAATACTATTTTACACATGGGAACTGTTTAAACAGCTGAGAAAAATTCATGCTTTTTCCCCCTACAGTTACAGAATATATATATATTGTTTCATAAGAATAAAAAGTAAAGTTAAATTTAAATAATTCTCATGTGCCATTGCATTGCTGCAAAGAATGAAATTTGAATTTAACAAATATTCTCTATTCATATAAAGTTAATTTAAATTATGAAATTTTAATTGCATACATATCAAAGATTAATTATTGCTGCAAACTAATTTACTATATCACTGAAATTCTGAGAGCATATGTAAATTAAATGCACGTATCTAAAACCATGAAAAAAAATATATAATATTCCAAAAAAACTAATCCCAAATATATACATATATATATATATATCTCAAAGACAGGCATATGCATAATTTCTGTTAGAAAAACAATTTCTCCGAGATTACGTTTTAGAGTAATTAATTAAACAATAAATTAATGGTGATATTATTACTGCATTCCAAAATTCGCAGTAATTAACGATTTCGATCATTACTACGAAAAAAAAAAAAAACGGGATGAAAAAGAAAGAATCCTGATACAATAACATTAAAAATTTGTGTGTTTACGTATAAAAATATATAATATTCTCAAATAGGTCATTTAAGCATAGTCTTTGATTCGGAAACATTTCCAGAAGTATTTCAGTTTTCATAATCTGAAGTAAAAACAAACCTGCTTTTGCAGAGAATATCCATTGGCAGTTGCCTTCAGAAAAGGTTTCAATTCATTGAAGCAAAGCAAACCGATTTAATCTGAATCAACTGATGAATTCACGCTCCACCATTTCAAAAGCATTACGACTGTCTCTTAAATGCCAAGGGATTCGATCAGCATTTCTCCGATTTCTTAAACGTCTGAGCAAAATCACTTCAGCCATCTTGTTTACAGTCGCTGTTAAGAGTTTGCGGCAGGTCAGGAGTAGCCGCAAAATTCCTCTATGGTAGTGACGTATTTTCAGTAGGCGTGTCCGAAAAGCGTTGCACTTGAATTCGGTTTTGCAATGCAAGTGCGATTACCATGACAAGCGTGCACTTGAATTCGCCCCTATGTCTCCATCGCTAAGGAATTCATGACTTCTACTTCTACCTTCGCGCCAGTGTTTACATTTGATCTGCTTGCATGCGTCTGCATCAGGAGGGTAATTCATTGTGTAATTTCATTTCGAAAACTATTGATAAAATAATATCGTTATTCTACATAAATGACATAATTTTTGTCTGTTAAAAAAAAGTGAAAATTGAAGTACTGCGGAAGCAAACTTTTAATGTTCTCAAACGCGTTTTAGATAATTTATATTAGTGAACCCCCTCCCCCCCAAAAAATGGATGGTTCCCCAGATAGTTCTGATAATCCTCCTGTGAAAAGACTTCGTTTTGATGAAGATGTTCTTCATTCAGATAGTTCAAACTCTAAAGCTGACATGAATATTTCAAATACTGATGATACTCCAAAAAATTCCTTTACTTCAAATCAAACTGAAGATGATGATTATGATGAAGATTCTGCTATTGAGGACAATGATCAAAATGCTTCGTGTTCGATTATGTTACCGGCTCCTCCAAGCAATGTAACTGCTGACGAAAAGGATCCATCATCTCCTGTTCATCTTGATATTGACAGTGATGATACAAACTTGCCCGGAGACGCTCAGCAGATTAAAACTAAGGAACAAATGGAAGAAGAGGAACGTGAGAGAATGCAAGTTTTAGTTTCGAATTTTTCAGAGGACCAGTTAAACCGGTATGAAATGTACCGCAGATCAGCATTTCCAAAAGCTGCAATTAAACGTTTAATGCAATCAATTACTGGTAGTTCAGTTTCACAAAATGTTGTAATTGCCGTTTCTGGAATAGCTAAAGTATTGGTGAAGTTGTAGAAGAAGCATTAGATGTTGCTGAAAGTAATGGTGAAACTGGTCCATTGCAACCAAAGCATCTTCGTGAAGCAGTGAGACGACTGAGAATGAGAAATTCTATACCTTGTAGCCGTCCAAAAACTAGCATGTTTTTCCGCTGAATATTATTATATATCATTAAATCAAGTGAACTGATTACTCAGTAATAGTATGAAGGATTAATTTTTCCAAATGATATCAGTGTAAATAGCATATATTTCATAGCACAAGAATTATGCATAATAGTTTTTTAAACTTTCTGTAAATATTAAAAATTATGCTATATCATTTGAGTTGATTTTACATTAATATTATTTACTTTCATTTTATCTGACAATATAAAGTTTCTGAGAGAATCATGCCATCATCTAGCTTGTAAAATGATAATTGATATTGAGAGAAATATTGCGGGTTTTTTCCCCTTAATGCCATATATCAAGTGAAAAGAGAATAAGCCTTTGGGAAATTTGAGGTTAACTGTATTGTTATCTAAAATTTGTATCCTTTGTTATTTCACAGTTATATGAGTGTAAAATTTTGATGAATCATCCACCAGTGTTGACAGATAAAAATGCATTTGTAACTTCTTGTGTAGTTTGTTCCACTTAATAATTTCTGTACTTTTAAAGTAGACTTAACTAATGAGTATGGCTCAAATAATTTCAAAATTTTATTATTTTTAAACACAGTTCGCATGACATTAAGCTAGCACGACAACACGTGCATTACAACGGAATAGCATAGCATGAACGCTGTTACAGTTATAGTTATTTTAAATATACATCAAATCCCTTCCTCCAATTTATAAACAATAATGAAAATGATAAATAACATCAATACAAGTACATTCACAATATGTCATACAATAAACAAAGTTACATAAAAATGATATAAGCAATATGTTACATTATTTTATTCTATGACAAAGTCTCTATACCTTGAAGGTTGTCTAATTAACCATCCATTTCTTGTTACTGTATTATTGGACAAATTATTTTGTTTATTTCCTATATTAATAGGCACAGAAAGTTGGCTAATCTTTGGAATATGGTAACAGGTAGTTTGGTGACATTTTTGTAAGGCGATAAAGGTTACTAGCTAGGACTTTAGCAGTGTACAAGGATAAAGTCAAGAGTGTGCGCAATGCCATTTTTGTGCAATTCTGGGATGTTTTTTTAAGTGAAAATAGGTCGACATGTACATGGATACCGTGTATGTGCAATTCTTAAAAACGCACCAAGCAGTGGGCGATTCTGCACTTTCTTCCAATTTCGCACCTAATCTTCGTCATGTTTAAGCACTCCATAAAAGTTCCAGCATAAGCGTAATTCGGCTAGCAGATTGTTGGAAAAAAACATGCCTTTACTTCGTAAAAACAAAATGGCGTCCAAAAAAAAAAAAAAAAAAACTAGCAGGGTTGATCGCCAAGTTACCATAATCCGAAGATTAACCGAAAGATTTTTCAAGGCTTCCATTGGAATTTTTCTTTTTATCTACTAATATATCATCATAATCTATTAACTTTGTAAGGTGAATTTGAAAATTTTATATGGAGTCTGTTTCTTCATAATATTTCCCCATTTGAATTTCTTACAATATAGGATCTAGAAGCTTTCTTTTCTAAAGTTATTTCACCTTTATCCCATTGCCCAGTTCTAAAGTTGAACAAGGTTATACTATCTCCAGGTTTTTACTTGGGCAGTTTCTGTGTGGTTCTATCATAATAATATTTTTGCTTAGCTTGAAGTGCACGAAATTTAGAATAAGGTTTGTTTACTTTAGTATTTAACAATTTATTACTGATAGGTAATTTCGTTCTTAATTTTCTATTAAGTAAAAGTTGTTCAAGAGACAAATTTATTCCACTAATTGGGATATTTCGATATTCCATTAAACTTACACTTAGATCTTGCACTTTTCTCATGATATTTTTCACTATTCCTACAGCTTTCTCATCCAGCCCATTACTTTGAGGATATCTGGGGGCTACTAAATTTAAGTTCGAAATCCCAATCTTCAGCAAATTTCTTAAATAAGTAGCTATTACAGGGATTATTGTCGCAAACGACTTCATTTGCAATACCATACCTGGCAAAGATGCAAACTTTCATTTTAACTTATCATAATTATCATAATTTCATTTGCTGTCTTATCTTTTATGTTAGAAACCTCAATCCATTTAGAGTAATAATCAATAACTACTAAGTAAATTTGATTACCAAATTGCAAGATATCAAGGGCAATTTTTTCGAATGGTTTAGTTGGAATTTCATGTTGCATTAGAGGTTCTTTTTGATTTCTATTTCTGAATTTTTCACATATTTCACATTTGGAAACAAGCTGCTCAATGTCATTTGTCATACCTGGCCAGTAAAAAATTTCACGGGCTCTACTTTTACATTTCTCAATTCCAAAGTGCGCTTCATGAATTAATTGCAACATATCTTTTCTCAAACCATAAGGTACAACTAATTTTTCATTAATAAATAACAAGTCGTCATTAATATAAAGATCATTTTTAACTTTAAAGTATGTTTTTACACTACTATCTACTTTTTTGTAACATTTAGGCCAACCCTCTTTAATATATTTCATAACTATTTGCAAATCTGGATCTGATTCAGTTTCTTTCCTAAATTGCACCACTCTTCTTTCACTCATAGGCAAATATTTTGAAATAATGTGAACAACATTTAGCATTTCAGGATCATCACTAATAGTTTCATTCACAGGATATGCTCGTGACAAAGTGTCAGCAAAAAGCATTTGATTACCTGGAACATAATTTATCTCAAAATCATACTTTAGTAATTTTAAGATCATCCTTTGCATTCTAGACGAGATTTTATGCAATGGTTTCTTAACAATTGCCATTAACGGTTTATGATCACTTTGTACTGTGACTTTCCGTCCATAAACAAAAATTGTGGTACTTTTCAAAAGAAAATACTATGGCCAATAGCTCTTTTTCGATCTGTGCATAGTTTTTTTTCACTGTTAGTCAGGCTGTGAGACACAAATGATACAGGCTTACCCTTTTGAACTAGACATGAACCTAGGCCATCCTTCAAACTATCATACTGTATAATTGTATCCTCATTACTGCTGAAAAAAATTGGAGCTTTAGTTAGCAGTTGTTTGATGTTAAATGACTCTTCCGGAGTTTCTCCCCAATTAAATTCTACCTTTTCTTGAATGATTTCTCTTAAAGGAGCAGTAACTTTAGATACATTAGGTATAAATTTTGACAAAAGGTTTTAACATTCCTAACAACCTCCTTACTTCAGTTTTTGATTTTGGTGTTGGCATATCAATAATTGCTTTAATATGACTAGGATCGGCTTTTACACCTGACTCAGAAATAATTTGGCCTACATATTTGACTTCCGGTACCCTATATTGTAATTTATCAGGATTAAATTTTATATTTAGAGACCTAGCTCTTTCAAGAACCTTAGAGATAATTATATCATGAGTAACCTCATCAGATCCTGCAATTATGATATCATCAAAATAAACTTCCACACCCTCAATATCACCAAATAATTTTTGGTTTCTTTTCTGAAATATTTCTGGGGCGGAGGATATTCCAAATGGCATTTTATTAAATTTATATCTTCCATAAAGGAGTATTAAATGTACATAGTTCAGAACTAGCTTCATCTAGTGGTACATGCCAAAATCCAAATCCATCTTTTAAATCTACAACTGAAAATACTTTTTTACCTTCTAACCTACTAATTATATCATCTGGAGAAGGAATCTGAGAAGGAATTTGATAGTGTTCCCTTTTAATTACTTTATTTAGATCTCTAGGATCCAAGCATAATCTCAGACTCCCATTAGGTTTTTCAACTATAACCAAACTTTGAACCCAATCAGTTGGTTTATTTACTTTCGATACTATCCCTTCTCTTTCAAGTTTATCTAAAGTATCTTTTAATTTAGGCTGTAAAGCCTGAGGAACACGTCTTGGGGGGGGGGTGTATTACTGGTATTGCATCATCTTTAAGGGTTATATGATATGGTTCGTCAGGAAATTGCCCTGTGCCTGTAAATACATCTTTATACTGAGCAATTAAATCATTTTTATTAATGATATTGCACTTTAAAGAATCAATCCTTTCAATTAGCTTTAATGCAGAACAAGCTGTTAACCCTAATATAGGCTTAGATCTTACATCAAGAACATAAAACTGTAAAGGTACATTCTTAAGCCTTTCAGTTGAACAATTAATTATAAGAGTACCTTCTGGTTTTAACTTAAAATTACCATATGCAGTTAAGAACAAATCAGTTTCATTAAGTTTAGGCTTAAGTTTAACATTATTTAAAACATACAAAGGCAAAATATTTACTTCTGCACCAGTATCTAACTTAAAATCAACCTTGAAATACTTATTATTTACATACATTGTAATACTTTTCACCCATGTTTCACTTACCTTGTGAATATCCTTATTTACTTCATCAATAGAATTTGTTAGATCTTTGATTGATTTTGCACTTATTTTAAATTCACTATGCCCGTTTACTGGTGGATTCATCATTACAGAGTCAACAAATACACTATGTTCATTATATATACTAAGTTCATTATTTGGTATTCCAACTTCATAAATGTTCTTGGGACACCTCGCGGCAAAATGGTTCTTTACTTTGCATTTCGCACACGTCTTTCCGAAAGCTGGACAGTCCCGATATTTGTGCCTTCTTCCGCACTTCTTGCAGTCATATTCTAGTGCTGATTGCTTCTGCTGCGACGATAATTTCGGTGGCACTGACTGTTTTGATTGATGCTGCTGTTTTCTATATTTCTTCACGCTGTTCACAGTCGCTGGATCATCTTTCATGTTCCGGAGTTGCTCTTTGCTTGTTTCAGCGGCACGGACTATTTCTATAGCTTTTTCTACCCTAGGTTAGATTCTCGAAGCAAACGTTCGGTCAGACTCCTATCCCGAATGCCTAATACAATACGGTCGCGAATCAATCCATTTTCTTGTTCAGCAAACTCACAAGTTGACGCTAAAGTCTTTAACTGAGTGACATAACATTCAATTGTTTGTCCTTCTTGCTGGCTACACGAAAAGAATTTGTAACGTTCATATACGACATTCTGCCGTGGTGAACAATAATCTTCAAAAGACTTCAAGACCTCTTCGTACTTCTCCTTATTCTCAGGTGGCTCAAATCGAAACGTGTTATAAATTTCCGAGTCCTTCAGTACCGAGTAAATTCAAAAAGGATTGCAATTTTAGTCTTATCTGGCTTGGCATCTTTTTCCGTTGCAAGTAAATACTAGCTTGTTTCTTTTTTTTCTTTAACATTTCCGACGGAGAATGTTAGCGGAAGCAGGTGGTCTGAAATCCATTTTGCTCCTGACACCATGTAACTTCTTGTTTAGTTTGTTCCACTTAATAACTTCTATACTTTTAAAGTAGACTTAACAACTAATGAGTATGGCTCAAATAATTTCAAAATTTTATTATTTTTAAATACAGTTCACATGACATTAAGCTAGCATTACAAGAACGGAATAGTATAGCATGAATGCTGTTATAGTTATTGTAAATATACATCACAACAT